GTACCCAATACAAGATCCATAAATAAGCATAATTGAATTTCATCATAAATTTCATTTATTCATTTTGACTGTTGTCAGCTGAGGAAATTCTTGAAAATTGGTTTAAGCTTTATCTATTTCCTAGTTTACATAAAACAAAATATATCAATTTAACTCTTGTTCACAGTTCATTTCTAGTGGAACCATATATCTTACAATGTATAATCTTGTATACATATATTACATGGAATATATTACATAGAACTGCTGCTTTTTAATGTTTTGGTGCATTCAGTTAAGAATGAAAATGATGAAAATCTTGTTATCTAATCACGTTTTATTGTATATTATGTATGTATGCCTATGAATTCAGAATGGGTATACAAGAGAACTCCTTGGTACGAGTTCCACTTATACAACATAAGTGATTAGTTATTTGTCTGTTTGAATATCTACAATAACTGTTACACATGCAATCATTAACATTTTTGTTTGTTTGTTTTTTAAACTTTATACTGTCTTTTTCACTTTAGCAATTTCATTTCTGATTAGTAAATATGCTGATACTATACACAGAAATCTGCTGTGGTTGTGGTTCAGATGTCACTGTGGAATAAAAAGTGAGTTTTCCTTCATCTTATAAATTCTTACACAGAGCTCGTGATTATCAATAAACTACATTACTATCTAACTATCATACCAAAGGTGTCAATTGCAAGAGAGAATTCGACTGTGCTTCCTTCAGCACACATGCCACCATCAGCACGAAGCACAATATAAGTTTATATATGTCCTGCATACAATTAAATAACAACGAAGAACAAAAGTAGATATACAGAATGAGAGAAAGTTTGAGATGAAGATGCCATCGTCGTCTTGGCCGCCTGCTTTAAGGCTGTCAGTTCATGTAGTTTGCTATTTAGCATATGTTAACTCTGATAAGGATCGGGGTGGGGGATGGTGGGTAAATATAACAATATGTAAAATAAAAATAATAAATAATAAAAAAAAATGATAAACAATAATACAATTAACAATAACAATAACAAAATCGCATTGAGGACACGAAATGAAAAAAAAATAATAACTGCATCGCTATTATTCATATCGCCATCAGCATGATCCGAATCTCCGTAAATACAGTCATTGACACCACGACCTCCGTTGACTCCTCATCATCATCCTTAGACAACCAGCCCTTCCCTGTCCTTCGAAAGCATGCAGCGTTGCAGCTGGACGCCTTGCAATGGGAAGGCGAGTTACAGTGATATGAGTTGCATGTTGCGTGCCCCGCTCGGGTTCCTAACTCACGCAATCGCACGTCATCGCTACTCCCATGTTACGTAATCGTTTTTGGGTTTTCATTACGCAATTATCACGTGCAAAGCGAGAGAGAAAGAAAGGAGAAGGGGGGGGGTGAAGAGGAGAGGGAGGGAGCCATGCCCTTGAGCTATAGTGTCGCAGTGCAGTATGGTGTAGAACCGCTGTGCATAGATGCTTGTGTGTTATATATTTTTGTTCGTGCATTTGTTAATCCGTATCATGACCTATCATTATCGTTATTACCTTGAATTTAATAACAAAAACTGCCCATGTCTCCCCAATGATATTCCTATTTTCCATATTGATATTACGTACACAAACAAACAGTTCATTGGTGTTTAAAACAAATAGATATATAAATTAAAATAAATAAATGCTAGATATTCTTTCTGTTTATCCATCTATCTATCTGTCTATCTAGAGCAAGGGTTCTTAGCCTGGGGTCAGTGGCCGGGTTTCAGGGGGTCAGATAAACATCAACATTTATTCTAGCGCCCTTTTTTTAGATTTTTAATTTAAAGTTTAATAAGACTTTGTGTATTTCATATACGCAATCAAATCTCAATAAATAAAATACGTTATATACGTTGCATGCAAAGTTGTACTTGTGTGAATATTTCTGGGGAAAGGGAGAGAGAGAGAGAGAGAGAGAGAGAGAGAGAGAGAGAGAGAGAGAGAGAGAGAGAGAGAGAGAGAGAGAGAGAGAGAGAGAGAGAGACTCAATCATTCAAACACTTCTTTCCTCATTTATCTTAAAAAGGCCGTTCTTGTCATGTCTCCCCAATCCCATATTTCCCCCCAGCTGTTGGGACTCAAACCCCAACAATTTACCGAGAGCGCAGAGGCTCCCCGCATGCAAACAGCGTGCCGAGGAAGAAAAAGCCTCCTTCCACCCACTACCTCTCCCTCCCCCCCTCCATCCCTCCCTCCTTCTCCCATCCCCCTCCTTCGCCTTCCCCCACGCTTTGCATCTTCTCTCTCCTCCTCCATCCCTCCCTCCTTCTCCCATTCTCCCTCCTTCGCCTCCCCCCTTCGCTCTCTATCTTCTCCCTCCCCCCTACCTCCTCCCCCTCGCCTTGCCTCCTCCCTCCTTCGCCTTCCCTCTCGCTTTGCCTCCCCCCCCCCCTTTCCCTTAACTCCTCCCCCTTCCCCTTCCCTTCCCTTCCCCTTAACTCCTCCCCCTTCCCTCCTCCTATCC